CCTAATTTTGACACGATCCAATCATCGACACTTTAAATGTACTAGATTAAAACGATTATTGATAGTTTCAGTAATTTACGATTAATTTATCTTCTACGGTATATTATCTTTACTATAATTTAGTCTGGGTGTATAATACCAAGGATATCTAGAATTTACTTGCTTTCAAAAGATGTATTTTGTTTCTCCTAGCTTATTATTGTAGAGAAATCACAAATTGACTCAAAATAAAAATTCAAAATTATTCGAGAGAAGAATGCTGCCAAACACTCCGCTTAGTCGAAGACTGAAGCATCCGATTAGATATGCTAACCACAGAACAGAGCACTGGGGTCTAGTGGACCCATAGTCTATTTTCTCATGTTTATATCTTTCAGAAATAATGACGGTTGAGTTCCTGCCTCTGCCAGGAAAAATGTTTATTGTGTAAATATTGGAGTTGATGCCACGTCAGCCTGAAAATGCTCGAGGAATAGTGGTCTCATAAGATCTGTGTAAGGTCTGCTAAACTCCGGTCTATGATTCATGTAGCTATAAATTCCATTCAATAAGTTTACATAATTTTGTTTAATTTATTAGTATTACCGACATGTTTGAGCTAGTGCTCTCATCTTTCAAATATTTTGCGTAGTCACGTATAAGGAACGCAAAGCACTGCCACTACGCCCTTGGATTCTTTATAATAATAGTTAATATTCTACTTCTAACTACATAATACTTTATACAATCTAATTTTTGGAAATTTGAATATTCTGTTTTCTGTTATTCTTATTTAATTCCATTTTTATGTCATTATCATTATAGACATTTACCCACAGAAGGGGTCTAAACTTTTAGCCGAATCAATAATTCGATATCGATAACGATAGTACCGATAATAATTGTTTATTCTAAGCAATAAACGTACAAACCAATGTTTAAAGTAAAGAAACCGCTGGTTACGTGCACTTAGACGTTACTCGCGACTGTCACGAGCATGCACAAAACTGTCGGTCAAACCTGCCTGCAAATGTCATTTTACGTTAAAGGGTTAATAATGTAATTTATGTTGAACGTTATGCGATCAAATTAATGTATCGATTTAATCCGAGTCATGGTTTTGGTTATTATCAAAATTCCTCAGCAGAAATTTAGTTTCTCATTTTATAAAGTCTATTTTTCGTTTCTACATGAAAATATGACCTGTGTAATAGTTATAATCAGCAATTTTAGCCGGAGATGAGCACAATTTTAATGGAATAACAGACAACGAATGAAACAAACTTAATTTATCCGTGACATTTATTTCATCGAGCAGTTAACTTTGTATTCATTGGTAGATATTTGGTTCTATAATTCAAACTTTCAATTTTGTTTAAAAAATTCTATTGGAATGATACGTAAGAAATAAAGCTAACATGTAAGAATTTAATTGGCCTTGTTATAGGATAATTCACGCGAAAACTAATGTTAACTTCTCTTTAAGCATTCAGAGCATCAATTGTCAAAAAATTATGAATCGTGAATTGTGAGCATCAATGGTCAATCAATTGTGAAAAAACTCGCATACAGAAATTTATTGGAGTTTGTTGTGTTAGAATTTAAGTAAAAACAGTGTGGCGTTAATTTCGACATTGATTAGAATGCAATTAGAAAAGAAGTTATGGTTCGAAGTTTAGGGACTAAGGCATCGTTTGCGTGGCACGTGACTTCACACGACAGTGTGTCATCGCATCTCGCCTGGCCATTGATGAAATTTATAACGATCATCATTGAATTACCTTGTCCCTCACGCGCTGATATCAAGGGGCTTTAACGATCCTCCGTCCTTCCTTTTACCGGATTAAGGCTGATAAGGCGTAACTGATGCAGATAGATCGATTCATGATTGGTTGTCGAACCGCTGCTAATTGCTGCCGTACCAGCACGGCAAATATATTCTTGTTGAATATCGCTGGAGCACTTTTGCCGCCGGTGACATCACGAATCGAAAACATTCGAGTGCTCGACTTTTCACACCGACTCGAACCAGGCTGTTTTCACACACAAACATCGCACTTTATCGCGCTAAATCCCGTCACAGGCTATTTTATTAACGGAAATGGGCATTTTGGGTAATTTGAAATATTGTCATCGCGCGCTTTTTCTTTTTTCTTGATTTATATTAAAAAAAAAAATCACAAATTCAGTTCAACAAACGCGTCAAACACAGGAATATAAAACAGTTGTCATTCAGCCTCGCACTTTTATAGGTCACCGTTTGCTCGATCGTTCACGCGTTATGAACGATGTTTAACTTAAAAACTCGTTATGCCTAAATATTCGCGAAATATGATATTCTCGTGTTTGGCGCACAACTGTGACAGCTCACCTCGAACGTCATATTTGTCAACCGAACTTAGAGCACGTTTACTTCCACGCTTTTGCCGAGTAGCTTTTAACGACACTCGAACGCATTCAATACGTGCACCGGATACTTTAAGTTAATGCGAAAACGATCGTACCACGGATTACACATTGACGTATCGATCATGGAGAAATTTTTATATGGACTTTCTCATTGCAAAATGCACAGTTTTGGAAACGTGGTTCGTAAAAATCATACTCTTCTATTCTGTCGCAAATATAATGAAAGTTAAAGAAATATTTTTTTCGAAATATTAAATTTGAATTGTTTAATCAAAATTGTTCTCGTGCCGAACTCTCATAAAGATAGAGCGATTATTATTTTTTTTATAATGTGGATCACTATTCTGTATACAAAAATTTCAAAATAAACTTGTTGAAATATTTAATTTAAATTGTTTAGTTACAATTGTTCTATTCTCGTGCTAAAAAAAATCTACACTGAACAAGGTTACAAGGCGCGTACCAAGTTTAAAAAGAAATCTTCGAAAGGCAAACACAGCTGATATTGTAATCAAAATATATATTGTCTGATAACGCCTCTGTTTCGTATCGAAAAACGATACCGTGTACACTTAACTTCAAATGAAATGCAATTATTCGATACTGTAATTGAAACTAGAAAAGATTATTGCCAAGGAAACGAAATACACGAAGCGACTACACGTGTTCAGGCAGCGTCGACCTTAAACTTGTTCGGATTAAAAATGAAAGCTCCATTCGTTCTCGTATCTTACGAAGTTTCGAAGACTACATCACTCGAACTGATCTGTCGATTGTTTATCGGAAATCACACGATCGTCCAAAACTGTACAATTATTTTTTTATTTTACCGCGACTCCTCATCACGATTCGGGACGCGCTGAAAATATCATCGCGTGTTTCTATCACAATTTCCCTAGTGTGAAATTTTTAAATCGACTGCGATCGTAACCGGTGCGCGTACACGATGTACCTTGAGGACCGCTAGATAGGTACGCAACCGGCGGTGGATGCGGCACGACTGTGCTGATCGCGGAAACAGAGACGAAGAAGTATCGCCTTCGAGTTTACCCGAAATAGGGATGCGGGATTATTCTCAGAGACGGGGTGCAGGTGGCATCTAGCACCCTTCGTGGGGTTCGAGAACCTTATCGATCCGATTCTCTCGGCCGCTAAAAACGAAACGCGACCGTACCTTCGAATAGTAACGTACAAATTTTGGAAAGTAAAAATAAAACTACAAATTCCTAAAGATGGCTGCTGAAAGAATCATAGTGTTTCAAGACGAGTTTTCTGCATTTATCGACTTTGATGGTTAAATTGAAAATACTTCTCAGACTCGCCATCTTTAAACGTAGAGGGCACTGGAAAACCACTTATTTTGCATTTATGTCGATACTTCAGTTTGTGAAGTGTAGACTACTTCTGAACGTATATAACAATTGATAGCAAGGACTTTATAGGAATCTGTAATTTTTAAACATTATCATCATTAAGGTGTGGAAATACAGAAAAGAACAAATAAGGAGAATTTCAATTCACTCACGTTTTTCACAGAGTTTGTCTTTCTTGATTGATGACTAAATAGTATTACGCCTTTTTTTCTGCATAAACATTTTACTAACCGTTATCATAAGAAACACTATGTTTGAATTACTCACCTTGTTCTTCCACTTATCCTTCATCCAACTATTAGAAATTATATTTCATTCCTAAAAAATAATCAGGAATTATCTGCTATAAATTATACGATTTGGACGTAAATTTTATAATTGTGGTATCAAGGGTTGAACTTCCAACCCCTAACATTATTCGTCAATCTTCTGATCATAATTTGCCTGTTGACAGTAACTTTGTATATTCAATAGTATTCTGGTCAAGTTATCCAAGAAACTATCAAAAATAAACGCGTAAACCTTCGAATGTTTGGTTCACAACATTAAGTAGTAAATTATTATCGAGTTTCAGAAAATACATTACATTGGAAATTCTTTTGTTCGAGACCACTCTGTATTTACAGGTACATTTCAGTTTCTTAGCAACGATCGATTAGCTACTAAACGCACATAGAAGAGTATTCTTAATTACTTAGGGACTTACACACGTACGATGTGTCATGGACACACCTGGCATGATAATTAAACGTGAGCCAGAGGTTTAGAACTTCAACAAGTATTTAGCACGAACGTGTCACGAAAGTCAAGGGCCAGCAATGCTTTCACCTGCTTTATCAATAACAAATGCAGTATCATAAGCAAATTGCATATTAATCGAAATCTTGTATTACCAGTATATTAAAATAAATAATATTCCAACTAATTTAACTTAATGTTCTTCAAAAATAATACTGTCCTATAGTAATAACTAGACTGCGGATATTTATGTAAATTCGTATTATAATGTACACAGACGAGGAATACAAACTTAAATTAAAATATGTTTTGTCTTTGAAATGCTCGAACGTGTATTTCATTTTTGACACCTTCTATATTTATGCATTTGTACACATCCTTGTATATTTTTGTATATCTACATTTGTCATAAATGCATAAATATCCGCAGAATAGTAATAATTAACCGAAATAAAACATGAACATTAAAATACACAGGAAGTAAACAGCATTAAGCGCATATTAACTGAATCACAAGCTTTATTTAAGAATGTATCTGTATAACTGTGAAGTAATATCGCTGCAGACGGCGACCGATGCAACAAAGCAACATTAATTAGCGAAACATATTGTAACTGAACGATTGTCCTAAAACTTCCTAATGATTACATTAAGCGAATTAATGTTTTCCTTGGACTTTATCTAAAATCGTCTGGGTTAAATATCTGCCAGCCAGATCTTTAGCAAAGTTGGTTAATTGATCAGTGATATCAGGTTTCCTCGTAGTAGGAGGATAATTTCCTTGTGGATAACCCTGCGGGTATCCTTGTGGATATCCCTGTGGATAACCCTGTGGGTAACCCTGCGGATAACCCTGCGGATAACCTTGTGGGTAACCCTGTGGATATCCCTGAGGGTAACTTTGAGGGTATTGAGAATATTGACCACCTGGATATCCAGATTGCGAGGGATATCCGGTGTTTTGAGACGGATAACCGCTTTGAGAAGATTGACCGGGGTATCCAGACTGCGACAAATATCCGGTGTTTTGAGACGGATAACCGCTTCGAGAAGATTGGCTAGGATATCCAGCATTAACCGTGTTGGCAGTCACTCTTTGAACACTTTCATCGCCACGAGGATAACCAGAACTCGATGGATATCCTCGAGAACTCGAGGGATAACCACTAGGGTAACCACTCGAGCCTGAAGGATAACCAGAACTACTGCTCGACGGATAACCAGATGATGTCTGAGTCGGGTAACCCGAGGAGCTTCTCGATGGGTATCCTGACTGTGCCGGATAACCCGAAGAGCTTCTCGAGGGATATCCAGATTCTGAAGGATATCCAGAGCTGCTAGGATAACCACTTCGTGACGGACTTCCAGACTCCGATGGGTAACCAGAGCTTCTCGATGGATATCCCGATGAACTGGAAGGATAACCTGAACCAGAAGGATAGCCAGACGAGGTACTTCTGGAAGGATAACCAGAACCAGAAGGATAGCCTGATGAACTTGGTTGACTGTCAGAACTTTTAGTCTCCGGATATCCGCTTCCAGACGGGTATCCTGATCTAGATGACGGCGAGCCCGATGAATCAGGTGACGCGGATTTCACTTCGCTCTGTCGTCTTGCGACTATCTTGTTGCTTCCATCGTTGAACTCTGCGAACAATTCGTTATCTACCTCCTAATTGTTTAGAATAGTTCATAGTTTGGGCTCAGCCCCATGCCATGCCGAGTCCAACTCATTTCTTACAACCGCAACTTTCATAAACATTATTCTTGTATATATTCCCATAGCAGCGATTGCCTTGGCAAGCTATGATGCCGCAATTGTATGGATTGTTGCTAATGTCTTGATTACTAAATTATCATAATTAGTGTGTTATTAAGCCTCTAATACGGTACAATTGTCCTCGTATATTATTACCGTTTATGCGATTGATATGATAGTATTCTCTGTGACTTTTGTTGCTTGATAAAGGCGTGCTATGTAGCAACTTATAATTTAATCATGCAATTTCGTAATTTTATGTTCATTATGGTAGGTATTGAAGTGCTTGATGATAGATTGATTTAATTAATCACTAAGAGTTTTCGTTATAAGTACGCGCACATAACGAAATAATTTCATTTGTAACGCATTTAATTTTGTATGCGTAATAATTGCATAAATATTGTTTTACAATATGATGTAGATATTGGAGTTTAAAGAATCACCAGGACGACAGTCTGAATGCTGAGGATTAAATATATTTAAGACATATGTATACTACATGTAAAAGCATTTTAAGTACTCGTTAAGTTCTACGTATGTACGCTGCGTGTAAAATCATTATAAGTACTCGTTAAATATTAAGTAAATAGTAAGTCCATACGAAATAATAATGTTTCACGAATATAATTATGGCACTAGAAAGAAAGGAACAGTTATCAATGGATAAATAAGATATTAATAGTACTGCACCTAAACTAAATAAAAGAATTTGTGCTATTTTTAAATTCTATTGTAAAATTTGTTTCCCATTGTACCACTTACTTTGTAGAATAAATTAATATAGTATTTTATATTTCATGTTAACTAGACTGTGGATGTTTATGCAATTTCATACTTTTACGGATTCAGATAAAGAATTAAGATTTAAATAAAAGTATGTCTTATCTTATATTAGACACAAACAGTATACCATGTATTTGATTGTAGAAATTTTCTTTGTTTTTTGCATTCATGCACATTCTCATGCGTTTTCTCACATTTTCACTTGTCACAAATGCATCAACATCAGCAGTCTAATGATAACTGTAGTTTCCAGCCCCATACGGTAGTATCTGATTCCCTAGCTCGAAGTTACGTGTAGGCTTATCAAATTTGTAAAATAACAATTCATCGATTAACCGGAAAACGTCCAGATTCTATTTCCCTGGCTATCGATGGATGTGTGAGAAGTATAATAGGCATTATTGGCCGGTTTGTTGTATTGACTTCTAGGAGTAGTTGTGGCACGAGATTCGTAATTGCGATCATTTCCAAACAAACGATCAAAAATTGAACCGCTTCCAATGGTGTTTCTTGATCCAGTGTTACCGCTGACTCTTCCTCCAAATCCGTTGGATGAAGTTCTTGGTGGTGGCGGGGGTGGCGCTGGTCTGGAACCTCCTGGTTGTCGAGTAGGATATCCTGGATATGCTGTTAATTTGGAGAGTGGTAGTAAAAAATTAGCGTACTAACAACCGCGGTATGGACTCCAACACGCAATGGACTAGGATTTTTTTAGAAAATTAATTATTTTACTGGTTACAGTAGTTATAGTTCAAGAATTATTTTTCAAGATTTAAATACATATTTCAATGCAAAACAAAGCATTATATTACGGTACGAGGCTTGAACTCAATACATAAATTTTGTTGTTAAGATAAACGGCGAAGATGCAGGAAATCTCCAGGAACTTGTATCATCGCTATTTTTATCTTAACCACAAAGTTCATGTATTAAGTTCAAGCTTTGTACTGTAAAGTTACGCGTTGATTAGAATGAAAATATATATTTTAATCTTGACAAAAAAATTCTTGACAACAACGTACACCCTTAAGAATACCCATAGGAATTAAAGTTCGTCTGCTGATTAAGTTTTAATTGCAATTTTGATTAAGATTAAAGGTCATTAAAATAGCATGTTAGTTAATATTACATGCTAATATTATAATGCAGATATTTCGATTGCGTTTCATAAGCATGCATCGTTATTGATGTTAGTTGTCTAATGTGTATGCTTCCTGTCAGAATCTTTCATACGATGTATGCTCTCATTTTGAACTTCCACTCTTCAATTTATACGCCAACAGATTACATTAGGTATAAAAATATAAAAGTTTTCAACCAGATCTTATTACAATCAGTCTATAAACATAACCTAAGTCTCAACCTGACGGACATTACAATTTAGCTACATATACAAAGTTCAGTAGCCAATAAATTTTGCTTATTGTTGTTCTTCTAACAGACTACAACCTTACTTAACAATTATTCAATCATTAGGTGCAGCGCAGTTTTCGCAAAAAATGTCTATAATTACAATTTTAATGTTATTAGTATGTAAACAGTTATAATGATATAAAAGTAATAGCATGCTCTCAAAGAAGTATAAAAGTATTAACAAAAACGTATTAACGGTGAACTGAAACATAACGAAGGACAATATTAAAGAAATAAAACCGATTTATAAAAATGGCTTCGAGAATGCTGAAATTGTTAAAAAGAAAACAAGTTTAGGGGTCGCTTAAGAACTATAACATACAATTTACATCATACTACGGCGCTTACCAAAGTAGATAAGAAGTGTCAAGAGTTCGACGCGATAAGGTGATCGATGAATATTTGTCAGCTATAGCTTTATGAAATTAATGGTAAATTTTGTTTACAGACTACTTAATGACAGATACTAGAGTAAACCTGCGAATTAGTAGAAATGGTATTATATTTATTCCAGGTCAACAATTGTATAATGGTACAATTACATTCATTGCACATATGTATATATAAGTGCAGAAACAATTTTATATTATTATATAAATAAATTTGTATCCATGCATGTAAATATGTCGACGGCACTAATGCCAGGAAAATCATTCATCGGACGGCAATAAGTGTTTCGTTCGCAACGAAAACATGTTATCGATACATACATTGTGCATCAGCTAAAATAGAGTATTAAATATACACGTGACATTTTGTCTTATTCGAAACAATGCAATGCTAACAAGCGTTTTCTTTATTAAGAAGGTGCTCTTTTTTTCTTAACCAGTTTCGAGACACATTTCATCATTTTTTTTGCAATCAAAGTACTTGACATGAATTTCCGAAATTTGATATTTTGTGTTTTGTATTAAATTTTGGGTTTAATGTTTTTGTGCTAAATCGTACATTTCATTATAAGTTTGTCAATTTTGAAATTGATTCAATAGAATTTGGTAGAAATATTTGAATGGAACTAAGCAACAAGAATATCAACAAACAAAATCTGTTTTTTAATCCAGGGAAAAAAAGAGTACCTCCTTAACCCCGTAGTGTCAGGTACCAATATCGAGTTAGCCGATTCATTGGAATAATTCCACTCAAAGGATCGATCATCTTGAAGGATGTTTGTATAAGTATATTTGCTAACAATTAGCTGGAAGTCCTTCAAAACACTTCATCGTGACTTCGCAGATTTTCAAATGTATCAAAATACTACTATGCGCCCTCTCACAACGCTCTTTCTAAACCTTAAAGATTTAGTTATAATAATAAGCGCACCAGGTACATTAAAATAATTTAAACTTGATCCGACATATTATGTCCTAAGGGATTACTTTCTAATTCTGCGTTGACTATGTGCATAATTATTATAAAATGCTTTGTATACATTTTTGGAAAAACATCAATTTATGTTCTTTAAGAAGGTCTATCGAAGAAGCATTTTAATTAATTCGCTCCTGTGTTACGTTTAAACGATTAATATAATTAATTCATGATTTGTATCATCAAGTAACGATTAAGTTAAATGAGACGAAGTATAAAAAATAGAAGAAGCATCTACCTCAGACGAAAGGATTTTATACTACCTAGGTAACGTTTCGAAAATTCTTATTAACTGGTCAATGTTAGAGACTGTTTCCTGTTGTTGTTAATTGTAAATGCGTCACGTGAAGGCAAATGATGTGCTGGCATGAATTATTGGAAGACATATAGGCAATAACCTATGTAAATATAAGATTACAAACATAATTTTAACGGTGGACACTATTTCAATGATTGCTATTCAAACAAAAATGATATAAATAAACTATCCTTATTTTAAATATCGGTGATCGTGATCATCGTGGAGTATCATTCTTTAAATTGTATTTTCAAATTATAAAATACGCGATTCAGAGTAATACTACTTTCTAAAGATAGACAAATGTATAAAATAAATGAAAAACAATCCTTTTTACGTTAGCGTCTTAATATTATTGAGTACACCAAATTCAACGGAAAGTTAAGTAGTAAATAATTCAGTTCGATAAAATGCCCATGTCTATCTAACATTTCAATTCGACAACCCCCATCGTTCCACGCGTTAATTGTATCGCCCAACCATATATTTATACAAAGTGTATAACAAAAATACGATACCAAAACCAAACCGAGTCAAATAAAGTCATCGCTAAACTCGAAAATTTGGAGAAATACTAGTATATTACTAGTAAATATAATTTCAACTCTTAATCCGTTACTTGATAACGTGGCTCCGAATTACCTGCAGTCAGTGGTGTGTAAACAAGACGAAAAGGCTTAAAAGTTTATAAGGCTTTGATTTGACATAACCATAAACACGCAACGATATTACTAAAATTACCATGTCTCGATATTCAGAGACAGACCTGTGACGAACAAGTGTCGATAGCGCGATGTTTCGTTACTCGGGCGCGTCAAGTAAAGACTGAATAAAAGAATCGAAGCTCTACACACGTGATCACGATCTTTTGGCAACGAGCATAACGAGGCACGTTAGACAAACTACAATTAAAGATGGAGCCGCCACGGCAGCGTTGTTCCTGCGATAAACCGAGTAACTGTGACGCTGGTTAGGATTGTACGAGTAAGGATAATTCTGTTGGCCAGGGATTTGTTGGGGATATCCCGGGGCGGCTGGATATCCAGCAGGTTGCGCGGGGTACGGAGGATAGTTTTGGCCAGGCATAGGCATCTTGTTGTGCGTCGGGTATGGCGGATATCCTAAGTCGTGTTGTCGATTTCCCTGGTTCGACGAAGGATAAGGCGGATATCCGCTGTTAGAACCGGTGTTGCTAGGGTACGCTGGATAACCCAAATTACCGCCGGAATTCACTTGACGATATCCTCCAGCAGGATCGACAGGGGCGGGGGGTGCATTAGCATTCGCGTAAGGGTTCGAATTGCTGGCACTGTTGCTGGTTTTATCGGGACCGTCATTGGTGCTGATAGGCTGTCCATTCACGTAAGAAACGCCCGCCGATTCGTATCCTGAAAAGATTGTCCTGTTCTCGTCGTCTTTGTTCTTTTCGAGCGCAACTCGAGCATTGGGGAGAGGATTAAAGAGAGTCCAGACAAATGAAAAATGTGCGAGAGATATACCAGGTTGCCTCTGGAATACAAACCTCTAAGACTACGAGGGGATTAAAATCGACTGGGCACTCGGAACTACTTCTACGGGTATGGATCCGTGAGTCAATAGGGAGGGTAAGTATGTTTAACTAACATTAATGAAACGATCCTTTCAGCAGTGAGAAGAAACTGTACATTGGAGATATTACGATTTAGGTTCGGGACCTGACGAAAACCAGATTTAGAATCTCAATTTTATTTAGTATGGTATGAAAGGGTTGTACGAATGGTGATATTAGAAGGATATTCATTTCTAAAAAATGGCTGTCATTTGCAGTAAGATGTACATATATTTTAATCAAGAACAAAGTAATATATACGTTTAATAACATTTATATATTATTACATGCATTCATATATAATATGTATATATTACTTTGTTTTGAATTAAAATATATGCATGTATATCTTACTGCAGCTGACAGTCATTTTTTGGAAATGAATATCCTTCTAATATCATTCATAAGTATATGTAATAATATATACAATATAAGATATATTTAAAAATGGCCAAGATATAAATTTCCAGAATTCGATTGAGAAATATGAGATGTAACCAACGGAATCATCACCAACCCCATAGTTAACAGTTTGAACAGACAATCCGAATGACAAATGTTAATATTATTCTGTCAAACATATGTGCATACGAGCTTCACCATCTCATCCAAACTACTATTTCTTCAATATAATAAACTTCACTCATCTCCCCCACTCTTTATCCAACCCAGGCTCTCCGCAGCTAACCCCTAAGTCAAAACCGCCACACGTCACCAATCTCCTTCAATCCATGCTTCTATAAAGTAAGTATAGAGCTCACCTAGGTATTCATCAAGGCTAGCTCCAGCAGCTTTGAATTACGACGAATTTAGCATATCACCAACTGAAGTAGTGGAGATGGTAGACGCATACTAATGCATTAGTCAAATACACGTGACACGCTTCTTCAGTGTGATTGTCGTCTTCACCACTCCGCTAGATGGTATGCTAAATTCGTCGTAATTCAAACCCCCCGTAGCTGGGTTTAAAGAACACTGGTTTACCTTAATCTTTTTTCCCTTCACACTTTCCTTGATCTCCTTAGTTCCCATTCTCTCTTATCATCGTACGATGGATCTTCCTATATCTACTTTCTCTTATTCTTCAGTTTCCTTTTTCTCGATAATAGCTACCCATTTTCACCTTATGTCATTCATTCATGCAACAACCGTAGTCTCTTCTCCTTCCACCTTCCCCGCTAATGCTCTCATCCATTCTATGTTCCCTGCAACTCTTATCTCCACCTACAGGTCCTCCTTGCGTCCTTTCCCTCCTACCTAAGTCCTTTAACAATCAAGTTGCGTGTCCCGTTCTCTACCTTTCAGTCTTCCATCTTTCTAACCCTCTTTTCCATTCCTACATACTTTTACACTTGACCCGAACTCTCTTTACTTATGCAAACACTTGCCTAACCTCCCTGCTCACTCATTCTCAGCTCCTAACCTTCACTATTTCCTACGACATCGCTACTCTGTCTTACCTGACCCTTCGTTTTCTTCCCACCCTACAACCTTTTTCACTTTCAACAACCTCTTCTTACTTACGAAAGTAACTCAGAATTCGAATCGTAAAGTACGTAACTTGCACCTGAATATCAGCAGTCTATTAAAAATTGATACTCTTTTTAACTACACCATTTTCTTGTAATATGCTTTATAAATTGAGATTGTGAGAAGGAATTTCTTAAGGGTTGAAACGTAATTCGTAATACTTTTTGTACAGTTTATTCATGCCTACCGCGACGAAAATCTAACGGATTAACTAAGAATCGTGTCAATTGATAGACTCTTGCTTTTGCATCATGCTTCATCTGTCTGTTCGATAGACAGAAAGCGATTAGACGGTCATAGGGTATGGATAACTCTTCAGCGACTGGTTGATTTTGATACGAACATCGCTACACAGCTACAAGCTGAAAAACCTTTCACGGAAAGTTGGAAATTTTAAGGTGACTCGTTTTAGTGGAGTTAGTTTAATGGAGGTGCTGCGAAAAGTTCAAAAAATTGTGCGGTTATCTGTTCCTGTATCACGTATGCAAAAATTATTGGAAAGCGTTAAAGTGCACGTAAAGAGAACAGGCCCATGCTACATGCGATCCCTATTGTGTTGTTAAAATAGCAAAAAAGTTATTAAAAACGATTCATTCTAATAATAATACTATATACCACATATGTAAGTTTTTTAAACTCAACAAATCTTCGACTCCACATTTCTACATTTCATATGAATAAAGGAACATAAAGTTTAAACATGATTACACGATTAATAGTAGTCTAAAAATTATTATTCAGTTTCCTCTATTTTAATGATGATTATTTTCGTAAATTACAACGAACTATATTTCACGTTGCAAGTAAACAATTCACGCAGAAATTTAAGCCCGAATCAATTTGTATTTTATAAATTGTTTTTATAAATTGTCTTTACTATAAAATAGTTGAAAAACAAATATTACAAAACATGTCTCCTGTTAAAGATCACGTTGAATACAAAGTACACGCTAACGAAAATTTAATCCTTAACTGCATAAAGCACTCCTGCATCGTCAATTTCGCTTCCTGCTAGAGCAATACACTTTTTCTTTCATATCGGCGGGATGGTAGAAGTTTATGCGTTCGAGAGCAATTTCTCCAAAATCCTATAACACTGCGTGAGTATATGCGTATGCACGCGTTTGTGTGCAGAGGGAGACGATAATGGAAAGGTCGTGTTCGAAAAAGTTAAGGAGAGAAAAAATCTGCTGTACAAGCTCTTGAGGTTCTCGACTTTACATTACAGACCACTTTACACGGCGCAATACGACTCAAAATTACAAAATAACGTTCCAATCTATTCTCGTTATCAAATTCTATCGCTACGCGCCTTTTACGAGTCTAACGCGAGACTTAACCTACCCAAGGTTCGATGGCGAATCAAATTAAATAGAAAATATGCAAGAGCTTGTACTGTTCACGCAGTCGTTACGCTGTCGTAATATTTGACTGAGGAAAAATAATTTAGTATTGGATTTGATGTGACACTGAAATTATTTATACAGTTGGAAATTAGAAATTAGAAATTGTCAAAATGCAACACCAAATACAGAAATATAGAATGCAAAAATAAAAAAGGATTGCGATGTGATTTACAGATTATTATTATTATAGTATATCGGAGAACATGTTATTGCTCGAATCATGTTTAACCCTTTCAGGAAGAAACTTGCAGTTGGGATACTGTGGCCATTAAAAGAAATCACATTAAACAGTAACTCGCCGAAATAGTGCATTGATAAATAAATCATATTGAGAAAACAATTTTATTAGAATGAAGAAAATATTTAATTAGAAGCGGAGCACGGAGGTTTTTACGCTGTAGCAAGCAGAGGATTGCAATAGCTTAAAATTCAATTCCCAAATATGACTACGAAATCATTCGACCAGTTTCCGCAATTGCATATTACAAAGTGAAATTATTACTTTAGATACGAATTTTAGAATTCGTTGATTACGTATGTAATATATTTCGTGCTAAATATCGGAAATTGTATGTGGTAACAAATCATACGCAAATGAAATTAATACGGTCCTGCGAACAGAAGACTATTAAACAATTCAATATCCAATACTTGTCACTAAAATTTCATGGGAAATACAGTGGCAATTCAGTTGACGCGTGCATTGAGATTTCAATCACTATCGCACGATCCTCTTAACCGCGTGAATCATTTACAGGCATTTTGTTCACCAACATGCAACCATGCTCTTCGATTTTCGAACTGGTCGAACAACATGCACGGACAATCGGCCACGGTGTAACCAAATGGACCATATAAGGATTTAAAAACTCACCAATTGCGGTCGACTTCTTCACGCATGTTGGCACACCATTTTCGGTTTTGCAGTATTCGTTTTCGCCGCAAACAGTACTTGCGCAGTTTGCTCCTGTGAATAAGATACGCGAAATGCACATGTAGGATGATTGTTGTAAATAATTTTATAGAAATAACATTTTATTTAATTTTGTTTTTGTTATTGTAAATTTTATACTAAGTGTAACTATTTGTTTAACGTTAATATTTAGATTCTTGAAGAGGTTTCTAAAGGAGGCGATAACTTGTCAAATAGATAAAATTAAAATATGCCTTTTTAACACTATTTACTAATGTTTCCAGAAAAAGTAAAATAAATATAGACACGAATATAGATAAAAATCAATAGACAGCGGAAGGGCTTAAACTATACTGAATTTCAAAAATAAAATTGTTCGACAGGATTCCTTGCATTTGGTGAAGCTGAATACGAATTTGGATTGAACTGCAAGTATTAATACATACAATTACTTAGGCAATAATTTCGTAATTATTTCGTTGGGGTTTAGCGCGACAACTGACCTAATTTATTTTGCATTTATTGAAACGTTAACGTACAGCTCATTGGCATTATCGATCACAAAGCGCGTACGTAATTTCATATGCGGTTAGTCGCGAACTTACACACAATGTATTAACATTTAATGATCTGATAATTGATTGATGGGTTATACAAGAACCGATAATTTATTCACAGAAATTGAAGGAAGTTATTCTCGTACTACAATTCCTGATTGAGATTTAATTAACTTCTTGTACGTCAAAGTGTGCTAATTCATAATATGTATATTATCTTGTAAGTTTAAAGTTACATGTTCTTTTTTTTTAAGACGGCGATTAAATTTAAATTATCACCAATTTAAATTCTCATTCATAACAATTTAAAAAAATCTAATTTTTAAAAATCCAACCAATCCATGTTATGCAATAACAGATCCTTTTTTTTAAATTGGTATCTACTAAAATTATATGTCTGAAAGAGGTTTGTGATTACTTAAATTTTGTGCTTAGTAATCAATCCTCTTCTTGATTGGATCATTTAAGTTCACGAAAAATCCTGAAAAATAACTCCCTAAGGGAGATACTAATAATAAATATCCCCCGCAATACTATTTCCCTGTGAAGCCAATCAATTGTTCGCGATTGTACAGCAAGTCTAAATCGATTCAGGGTCACCCTACGAATATTTATTCACCTCTGGCCTTCAACCAAAATCTGCGCATGAACGCACACAGTTCACAAAACGCATCTACCCTGAAACTGGGCAGACGACTCCATTTCTACCCGCCTCGTACGTAGCGTCCATTCTTGATTGCAATGGCGTATGAAATATATTTATGGAAAGGTCAACCGCATTCTTACCGCCTGGATGAGCTTTCGCGCAAGTCGGATAACGGCCGCAGTTATCTCGTCGGTAGATCGAGCATGGATCCTCTTCCATCACGCAGACCTCATCCCTCATGCATCCAATGTCCTTGCATGTCCTCCCATATTCTGCGGACAGAATAGTAATTTCTTTGAGTTCTCCTTTAGTGGGGAAAGTTCGAGTAGTAAGTCGCGATCCCGCGATTGGGATATGGTTCATTAAAACTTTGCTTGGGGAAAGAAACGTGTCATAAATGGAATTTATGTTGAAGCCTCTGATGTTCGCGATGGTGCGAGTCAGTTCAGATACTTTAATTTCGGGTAGCGCGAAAAGTAGTCGAGAACGATGCGTAGTTCGGTGCAGTGCTTCCATTTAAATATTTACACGATCGTGGTTTTTTACTAACATTTAAAGCGTACTCTTTGGGCTTCTGTATGTCGTTAATTTATTATTCAAAATTTCTATTCTACAGAGATGAGAAAATTCTAATCAAGATCAAAAGAAGTCGAATTAGAAATTAAAGTTGAATAAACTTTTGTAGAGCTCTACACGTGGATATGCTTTCAATGTTTACATTACATACATATATGTATATTTTATATTAATTATGTACGTATGGTTGTGTGTGTATATATATAATTAAGTGTAATCAATCTAGATTTAAGTTTCAGATGTAATTCAGTGTTATAGTCGAGTTAAGGACTTCGCACACTCAAAATATACTCGTACTCATACTCACAGATTTAAATTTAACAAACGACAAAAAGATAAAATTTAGATCTAGTCTTAAATTAAATATTGTTACGAAATTTGTATGTATTATATATTATGTTATAACAGATGATTCGAATAACTGTTAAATTTAATGACCATTGTGAATAATTGCGAGGTTTTTATTCATCTTTTATCCTCATAAAATTCTGCTCCCGATTCTAATTAATGATGTACGTTAAACAAGCACGAACATTTTCGATTAAAACACGTTGTTTATCTCATGACAACTTTGAGCCGATGCACGCCAAGTTTTGCTTCAGAACGCGTACATGTGCGCTTAGTTGACCGTGCGACGCAAAACTATTAAAGGGAGCAAGTATATTTACATTCAGATGACTTCAACTCAATATTCTCGATCCCAGGGTAAGCTTCTCCAAAACTTTGGACAGAAACTGTGTAACTAAACCTAGCATAATTACATTTACGCGAACCTGCTATTTAGTAGCTGAAGTGTAACTCGGTACCTACCAAATACGATCCTTGACCGCAATTAGTGATTTACGCGCACTTGCACGCTCAAATTATGGTTTCGAAGGTATCTAATGTTACCGAGGAGGAGATACATTTACGAAACACGCGAGTACTGTAGCCAATATGGCAATTACCATTTAGAAAGAGCCATAAAATAGAAATATTTCATAGTGGCAACAAATATTTCAAAAGCCATTTTTTTCTAATTTTGATTATTGTATTACATAAAGAGATGTGTGTTTATTTGTTCATAAGATGTACATTGCTTTTATATAAGGAATTAGATATACTAAAATAATCTTTTTTTTTTAAATAAGTTTATTTATTTATGCCTTTTTTGAAAATTGATTTCATTTTATTTAAGACAGTATGTATTATTCGCTAAACCATTATACAAGCAGATATAGCACAATAATTATTTCTATTTTAATAATCAATTATTTGGAATCAGTTTAGATTTAAATTTTGATAGGAAATTATTAATCTAAAATTCTTCTTAAATCTTCCTACTTTTACTTAAAATTACCGCGTTTCAATCCTAATCTCTTATACTTGCAAGCCTTCTAATGAGAAGGATAAGGATAAGGATAATCAATGGATAAGTATTGAAACTACCAATTACCAATACCGAACCTTTTACAAAACAATTATATGTATTGCTTCAGGCACGACTAACTAAATCTGAATATTATCTAGTCTGCACCCTCTTTTGCATAGAATGTTATTGAAAAACTTCACGACTTCTTCGTGGCAATATCCCCGCTTAGTAAGTATCCGAATTAAGGTTTCATGGTCGAAAAATACAACGTCTATTATGCATCTAGCCGATGTTATCCGACCGAGGCTCGCATCAGTGCAACGTCGCTAATCGTAATTCTATTCAAGCACCACGGTGTCATCCCCATATAACCCCATCGATTCTCAATTACGCGACCAGCGATAGAAGAAGGAAGACGCAAGAAGGGAAAAGAGGAATAGAGAGAAACAGCTGGCGAGTTAACGCCCAGGTTCGTGTTACCCATAACTGCCTACGTGCTGGAAGGTTACGTGGAAAAGGAAGGAAAGGGTGTGGTGAAGGGGTGGAAATATTAAAACTAGGTTAACGACTCTCGCTCAAATTGTCCTCATAGGTGGATCACGTTCAAAAACAAAAGGATTGAAACAAACGATGGATGGACGTTAAACAAATAAAGAATATTCAAAGGGTGTTTAACTTTGCATAGCACACGTCCGTTCTGCATAGGCTGACAAAATTATACGATGTAAATTAAGTGGATACGGTATGTTACATACGCATATTGGCGAAATGTAAATTCGTGGCCAAATTTGGTTACTTAGAAATACGCGCGTCATCCACCAATCTACTATCTCGTGCAAGAAGTTTGCGTTATTTGCATGATAATATGTTATCTATGCAACAGGGTCGCATTAAATGAAGAATAAGGTTACTATAGTGGCACAATAATACCGTGGAAGAAATAATAAATCTATTTACCAGATTACGTTAAACATTTTTTTAATTGACAAAGTTACAAGTACATTCTTTTATTTTATGTAAAAAAAATATTTACTAATATAAACGTTCTTCTATCTTACAATACATATGAGCTGTTTATTTTGAAAGTGGTATAAGTTACATTTCCGAAAACACTAATAGTAATTACAATATCCCGTTAACCCTTAAATATCACAATTTAAAAATGAAGAAAGTATAAAAACGATTCTATTATCCGAGAATTCCCTTATGAAACCACCGATGTCTACCTATTAATTAAGATAGTCGAGGTTCTACTTTATTTACAAATTGTTAATCGTTCAAAGCTTTTTTGAATAAAGAAAAAGTATTGAAGAATGCACAGAAAGAAATCCAAAGTCTGTAACAACTGTTCCAACTAATGAATGTCTATAAATTAATCTAACTGTCAAAGACTCGCCCTGCTTCATTAAATACTTTATAACTTTATAACATTAATACTTCATAATTTCAAAAATGTTCTCTATTCATTTATTCCTATAAAAGAAAACATACACGCCTATAATGATGGAAAATTAATGACAAAACAATAAACGATATATTTATTAATTTTTTGTATGACTGTAAATGCATATGCGGTTACAATCGTTACATTTTGCCGCGATATTGATTCTGCACTTGTAATTAAGGTCAGGCAATTAATTACAAGCAATTAATCAAATATACTCCAACACTGTTTAATAATTGGATATCGGTAATACGGAATCTTCTCTACTGAATTAATAAGTCGAATAATGGAAATAAGCTCAAAGCATGGAAAAAAAAATAAGTTAAACAATACTCTATACAAGCGTACATAGTTTAAATAATAACATTTAATTATATTTAAACAATAAATATAGATATTTTGTATAAACGTTTCGATTTAGGTCTTTTTCATTCGAGTTTATAGTTCTATTTTTATTTAATTGCACTATGGTGATCGCGCTGGAATTAGAAATCTTGCAAGTTACCTAATTTAAAGTACTCTTTAATTAAAATGTATGTTTGACGATTGCATCGAAACGACAATAGAACATTGTACAAAACTGTTGGAAAACAAATCATTATGAGGTGTCATATTCATGTTTGTTCGTACACAAGCCACTATAATTGGGTACTTAATCATGTGGATGTTTCTGTTAGAAATCAGTAATGGAAAACATATTGATATTAGCAGGAAGTCAATTTCACAATGCACTCGCATATAATTTTCAAAGCGTACCATTAACACGTATTAACTTTAAAAATATACCGTTTCCATCAGGTGACGTAAAGTTTACTAGGAACAAAATGATTGGGTAATTTAAAAATCACTTTGCTCGGCAGAATTAATTTCCATCACTTTCAGGGTTCCTTCATCGGATGTTTTACGGTTTGGAGATAGACGGGAAATTAAGTTTTTTAAGTTCAACGCAGCAAGTTTTACGAGCTTAGATAATTATTCTCAGAAGTTTTGATTGCGTTTGTAAGTTGCGAGCTTCTTTACGTTCAAAGAACTACTCTCGTCGTTTTTCTCGCAAAGGTTAGCTTCATCAGCACTAACGATGATGTATGTAAAGTTATTACGATTCAGACGAAAGATTTGTTCCAACTGCATAATCTCGTGGAAGCAGTTTGCCTAAATTCTAATAACGCGTTTAGTTCAATCGAATGTGGAAGATGACCCGTGATTAAATTAATAAAAATAAGGACTCAGAATGAAATTTTCAATTCTTCCAAATTTTGAACGAGACATAGGGATTGACCTTCCAACAATTATCTTCAAACAAAAATTACGAGAAAGATTTATAGCCCGTAAAAGGAAAAGAGAAATAGAAACGGGCAGAGTTTTATTGCTGTTGCGTAAAACCGGCGAATAAATCGCGTGATAGCACGAAAAGGGTGGAGAAATAATTGTTAACTCAGTGGAAACGATTAACGAGATTCCTCTGCTGGTAAAGCGAATTCGAATACGTCTGGAAAAGGTGTCCCTCTGTGGCCTTCAACAAACGTTGCTGATTACATAAAACCTCTACTTAAAGACAATTCTTACGTGAAAAAACGCAATTCCCACGAATAAGTAAATTATTGTTTGTAAATACACATCATCTGCACAAAAATGTGATAAAAACACAAACAAGAAATACGTATCTATTCACAGTTTAACGTTATTTTAATCTAACAGCAATATATACTTATTTCTATGTCGTGAAAAGTATTTTAATGGCAGTTGTAATACAAAATAAAATAATTAAACATAAAATATCAAAAGTCGATATTTTTTATGTGTAAGGACCTCAGAACATATTCCAATAATTTCATTTGAATTTTGCAAATTAAATGTATTATTAAATATAAGGGTTATGATGATAAATGGAAAAAAAGATAAATAAATATGTAAAAAACAAATATGTTTGAACCGAAGCGTTTGATACTCAGCAGATTGGATCTTAAATCCTTCAGTTTCCATTGCGGTTTCCTTTACTCTGTTTTAACGAGATTAGAATACGGAAGAGGACAAAGACGACGATTACGACGAAGGTCGATGTAATTATATCGATCGAGTCGGAGATTAAAACCGAACATTTGTTTCCATTAGGTCCAATTAATCCTAATCATACCAAGCGTTACTCTAGAGCTATTTAATCGAACCTGAATATCACCGTTTAACTAAATTCGTTTATTCTAGTGATTAGTTTTGCGTTACCATGTAAAGTCAATTGTACATAGATATAAATTAAAACGATATCTTGATAACAATTATTGAGATTAAAATAGTGATTAGGTATGTTTAAAGCTCAAATATTGTTTTTTTACGTACTAGTGTAAGACGTTGCACTTGGTATCGACGAGATAATCAATATCGTCCCTAAAAGGACACCCAGTGTAGAACTGGAAAACATCATCTGAAACAAACAAAATTTTCATTTTTTTATGTACGGTACAAATATTTGTAGCTCAAGTATTTTTCCAGCGGATTTGTTGCAAATCCCTTTAATATTGTTAAAGAAGTTATTTGTACAAATTAATTGTTAAATATAATATTGAAATCCTGAAAGGTCAAATTATTATTCAATTTGGAAATATCACAACTTTACCATTCCATCTCTTAATAATATGAATGATATTATATTTCAAGTCGTGGAAATGGAGCAATCACACTGCATAACGATTTACTGATTCATTTGCTCAATAGATAAGAAACGAAAGATACGAAATGCAGAAGGAAAGAAATACGAAACGTGGATGCCCTTTGACATTATGAAAAACCTAATATTTACGTATCGCTAAAAAAAATGCATCGATAACACGCGTATACGCTGCGGAAAATAAATGGAATTAGAACACTCAGAAATTCACGAATAGGCAATACGTTAATTTAACTTTTATAATATGAACAATATTAAATTCAGTTTTCATATTTATTTCAGTTGAATAATTTGGATCTAACAACATCATGTAGAGTAATTTACATACGGAAATCTTCTATACTTTTTATGAAATATATAATTTTTAATCTTTTGACATTTATCAAAACAGTATAGAGAGATAAAGTACTGAATTAAGACGTATGCTTTGCGCAATATCTTTTGTTTTACACTTACCGAGCGTGCAACAAGTAGTAAATAATTATACAGCAACCGATTGTGCGGTTACCATTAAAACGACAACGACAAGTAACAATGTCCAGAATAATTAAAAATGTTATTGCCAGAGTATCACTGTGACTTATCACAATATCAGATAATTAAAATAAAAGGCCGCACAGTATTTTAAATTTCAGCGCCAATATCGGTCGTAAAAACAGCCAATCACGCAGGCTGCGCAACTTAGTATCCTTTTTCTCGATCGTCCTTGTCTTACTCGGACATCCTAACCTCACTCGACACTTCTAACCATACCAGGGAAGAATCGCGCCCCTGAACGCGCCAAATAAATACGGTTCACGGATTTACTCTTCACGAAATGGACGCGTGATCAAATTAGATTTCCGGTCGTTCAGACCTCAGGCAGCGAGTATCATTCATGACATTTAAATTACAATGTTTCATTTGAATGACCTTGACTAGCCCCATATAGAAATCTCGTACTGCGCCGTTCGTCGTAATACGTGATAACGTTTCATTTTTACTTCTTTATACGTGAGTAATCACCACGTACATTCTTAAATAAACTAATAGTAACGTGTACGTGAGCACTGTAAACTTACCTGAGAAATATCGTTCACTAGCAACGTAAAGACACCCACTCCTCTATGTAGTCGGCACAATACTGAGCACTTTGTAAAATTCACTCGTTACTGACCTGACGTTGCCGTGAGTCAGAGAGGAATGGACGATGAAGTTGCACGCGAAAGAAAGAGCGGGAGAAGCTGCGAAAATGAGAGCGACATGGCGCGTGTGTGACGTAAAAGGAAGCAGAACACGGCTTTGAGCGCGCGTAATCTCTTTATGAACCACAAATGATGGAAAATGAAAATTTCTCAAAACATAATTCGTTTCCATTTTCAAATAATACTTCACTGTACGATACGATTACTTTTAATCTAATGATGCCAAAACTAATTCTATTCTGAAAGATGAAATTTGAATTTCAAATATAGTTTATTGCTTGCTATAATATAGGAAGATATAATGTACGTAATATGGACGGTTTTAGAATACGTACGCTTGTACTTCTATTGCTTAAAATACTTCTAAAAATACTTCTGAAAATTACTTCCAAGTAAGCATATATATTAAGCACTTACAGAATTGATATATTCAAGATTGTTTTCGTGTATTTCTAATGTTTGTACAGATAGTTTATTCATTGCATTTCTCAGCAAGAAAGGAATGGATTTTTAAATATAGAGTAATTCAAACAAGTTTATACGATAAAATCAATTTTATCAGAACGATAGCTCCAAGACAATAAGTCTAGCTCCAATAATTCTGCAGCATTCATAAAATTGAGTAAGGTATTGGCAAAGTTTTCAAGCGATCGGAGCTCATCGTTTATTTTTAAGTTCATCTCATGTCAGTTTCTTTCAATTCCATCGATAAAGTTATGTTTTTAAAATTTCAACGAAAACTGTTTTCAATTATAAATACTTTAATATGTTTCTGTTTTCAATGTTAATAAAAAAATTGCAAAAGCAGTGGAATCATTCTTTCTATTTAAAAAAAAACTGCTTACGAAATAATAATTAATTATTCATCAGATTTGGCCCACGGCGTGTATCCTCTGAATAGAATATTATTGTACCCTAAAATGTTGTTTTAAGTTGAGCGCATAAATCACCATTATATGAAAATTAATTTACAGCTGTTGGAAGTTTAATTAATTTAACATTCATTTTAGTTGGTTGTATCCAGGAATTAGTTTACGAAACAAGGAAATATTTGTCACTAATCCGAAGTCCACATTGACTCATATAACTCTGCATTGCAATTCTGTGATGTCACATTCTTGACGTGACGTATCATGATAGGAAAACAGAATTCTTCCGAACAGTCAATGAAGGAATGCAGCTTCATTGATCATTTTGTTTATCTGTATAACTGCTTTAGTAATGACAATTATTTTCCTTCCAATTCTGTTTATTAAAACCATTTATTATTATTCAAATGCGAAGAACCACAAAAATATTTGTATAATTTTCATTCTCAAACGATAAATATTCAACATCCAATGCTCATCGATATTACATTATTCATATCGAATAATAAATCATCAGATTAATATAATTTGCCCTTGGAAGTACATATTTTTGTCGACATGTATACATTTCTAAATTTTAAATTGCGATTTAACAAATTTCATTCGGAAACATTTTCGTCGATCTATTTTTTCGTCAATATTCCTTTTGCTTTGCGTATTCAAAAGTTGATCTATCACACTATCCTCGTGATTTCACATGCCTGCCTACAAAGAGAAACTGCACGGACGAATGTTCGCAAACATCTCACGTGTCAGAACGCGTTTAGCTCGACAGATAATCCTTGAGTACTCGGTTATTCTTTCCCTTTTATACGGCAGAGAGGCGAAAAATTTTCCAAATATTTGCACCTCGACGTTATAAAATGAACAAAAAGTATCAAAACGGAAAATGTCATCGATTGGCATACTTCTCATGCGACGAGCGCCACGAATTCCAGCAATTGATTCTGCACTTTTATTAATATTTCATAGTACAATTACGGCAGGAAAGTTGTTAACTGCTAAAGCGTCGGAGTTAAAGTTAAAAACTGTAGTTAAGAGAGTTATCAAGAACACGATTACTGACGATCGTTACAGTTAATGAAATCAAATGTACATAATGTACAACGTTTTAAAAAATGAAGTATGAAAATCTTCATAGCCTCATTTCTGTATTTATAGAAAAGTAAAAAATTTCTTTTAAACGTCTCAATTTGAGTTCTTTCATTATAGCGGACAGTTTAAAAATATGTAAAATTGTGTTAATTTGACACCCCTTACACCCCTTTCAATTTACGCCTCTTAGAATTTTCAACAAAAATCGTACCGCAACTGTAGATACAAGAACAATACATAGACGAAGATTTGTCGTTAGATTTGTAATCTATAACGAAGGTCTTCTTCGAAACAATAATCCAAATATTAACACAATTTTTCTTTACACTTTTTGTATCTATTCTGAAATATTCTCAGTTTCTTTTGTTCCTTACAACAATTTATGCTTTTCTCGATTTTGTATTACGCAAACGTTTATGTACGCATACCGGAAGAGAACTAAAAAAACGGAAGACTAAAATCGCACAATGAAAACTCTGTCGCATGTTCCATAAATAATTTCTCATGAAAAGATCAACGAAAAACTTCTATTCAACAAAATACTCAACATGCACCTACAGTTCCTGCGAACGAATCTGTGAAAATCTTTCTGATACGCTTCAACGCAACTTTTAAACACGTTGGTCGCCACGTCATTAATATACATAAGTGACATATATATAAGTGGCAGGCTTTTAAGGAAATAAACAAATTAATTTCGAAGGTGAGGTAGCAGTAAGAATAAATCTGGATACTATTCGTGAATTGGTCGAGATTAAAAAATTAAACACTAGGCCAAGTGTTAACTATAGAAATTTTCATGAGTTTTAGTTTAGCAGCCAATGTGTTAAATTCACTTTGGGATTATCCTCAGATTCCGTTTGGAGAATTCTTACGTAAAGTTTCCGCGTAGGAAAAATGAGGATCGTTTCACGTCAGACTATCATTCGGCTGTCCAGCTCGTTTCCAAACTTGTCCCTTCGATTGCCGCAGTCACGTAACTCTGAAATCTCACTGACAGGGAGTTCCGCCAAATCCTCACGTGTCGGAACGTTTCATCTTTGTGGAAGGCCCACCGTGGGTTAGCTCAGGCTTTTCGTGCTTTCAATGGCAGGATGTTCGATCCGGAGACTGCGCAAAGGTCGTCGTGGTTCGACATTGGGGGCAGGAACCTCGGACGGAGGGAATCTTGGGGAATTTTCGCAGAGACGCTTTTGCAGGATGAACGCCTGACGATGGTTCCTCTTACAGGCACGCGCACTGGGGTCGTTTCCCTTCCCCGTTCCCTTAACATCCACACATGCCCACGCATACTACTAATAATACACCTTTTCTCTGTCTTTTTCCGTTGTTTCCTTTCAGTTTTACATTTCCACGCTGCGCAGCGCTCTCCCTTTCCATTCTTCCAGCCAATGCACCCCATATCTCTGAGCTCGCTGCATATCGTCTCGTCTACTTGGATGCGTAAAAGCTATGAGTTGTCCCTTTTGTAGCCTTCAAACCTTCCGTTGAAGAAATTACCATCACTTGAAAATCCCGTCGCTTCTTCATCTTCCTGCTCTCTGCGTATTTTATTTAAACTCCGTCAACTGCATGATTAGTTGTATGTACGAAATAACCTTTCACCCACTCCTCCTACTTCTTTCCCGACTCTGTATAACGCTCCCACCGACTCGACTTTTAGAACGTATTTTGTCACCCTTTCATCTTTCTCTTTAACACGCCCTGCTTCCTCAATATCCCCTTTTTCTCGCTTATCGTCAAAGCGAACGTGCACGCGCGAACCTGTGCGTTCCTCGAACTTTTGCTTCGCGAAACTTTGGCACACTTTTGTTTTTTTGTTCTTGAAATATCGCGCGACCACGTACACCGGTCATAACCGTCCCGGAGCCACGCGTCTTCATAAAACTGATGCAAGCGCGAATACAGGAATGATTTCCGACTCTTGGGCTCTTTCAACGTTGCTTACTTTATCTCTTCAACTTCACCGTTTCCGCCACATCCAGACGATGGTCTTCATGACCGTGCACAAACAAGTGTTTGCTCTTTCATTCCCTGGCATTGTTCGCGCAGCAAAAGGTACATACCGGCGTACTCTATGGATTCCCCTATCCCTTGTGTTTCATTCTCCCGATATAAGACGTTGCATTTGCTATCAAAGAGATAACCAATATTGTCCCTAAGAGGTCACCTGGCGTACGACTGAAGAACATTATTCGAAGTGGAAGAACTTTCGCAAATCCTATGCTTCCGATGCGAATATCTGTGTCGCGATCATTTTTATTTGTAGTTTGATTGCTTCAGATGCGCGTCACTCTCTTCAACATTTGTTTGGAAAGGGTATTTAAGGACTCCTGGAATAAAATCATGAAACGAATGATTCTTCACTTCGTGAATGTCATGACTCTATTTTTCGATTTTTTAGTCAAATGCACGTTGTAGAATATAAAATTAATTCAAAAATATGTAGTATACTTTCTCTTTATCGAGGAGTGGAAAACACCGCAATAATATCTCTAAATCAAACCAATTTTTAAATTTATGAGTTTCTGTCTTAAGGTTTTTTTCTTGATATTTTTGGTTCAAGTTAAAGAAACGTTAAAAGTGTTTATCTTGAAACTATGTGCTTCGAGTTGGCCCGAAGGGCATCTGTAAATGTATAGAGCCGTTCAAAATAATTATTTCGACATGCCTATCTCAATTTTTTCATTGTTATAAAATTTATGAAATTTTGTATTAAATTTAAGCACGATCTCTGGCGCAAACTTATAGGATGATCTAATACGTTACGGATAATTAATGACTCGCTTGCATATCTTCTGACTTGCTTATTTCTCAGTTCAGGTTCATCATTCTCCTGAGATTTACTCTATGACTTATGTTTGAAGATTCGCTTTAATTAATGTCAGACACCGACCTGGAATTATCTACTATCTTAGCTCATTTTCTACGATGAAAGTATACTGTGCAGCAACAAGTGTTGTTAATCTTATTATACTTACCTTGTAATGCAAACATACTCAATATATACAAACTAACCTGTCTTCATACGTACTTTAAAGATTTTTTCTGTTATTTGTGTTTCGGAGATACGATCCCATTAATGGAAATCGATTCGCTACAGTAGTTCCGTATTTTCATCATGTAGAATGATACTATTCTTGTACCTACGCGTATCTCTTTAACTATTTTCAAAATTATGAAGAATGCTACGGTTTTGTCACTAATTGTAGAGTTTGCTTCTGTCTTCCTCCAGTGCCTTACATTCCTCAATTAAATGTTACACAGTGAAAGTCCTGTTGCAATGGTTGCATTTTGGTGGTTTCAATTTTCCAATTAAACATTTATGTGTCAGGTAAGTGTGTCCAATCCTTAATTTTGATAATGTGGTTCGAAGTATCATGTTGAAGGTAATGAAATAGTTTCTCCTGTTGACTTACGTATTCGATACAGTTTCGTTGTAATCATACTGGTCCATTGCTTGTTCCACCTTCCTTTGGGGATCTTTCCAATAAGATTTTTCATTTCATTCAGTGCGCGTGGCAGCTCAATGCGCGGTTGTTCGCGGTTTCATTACCAGTTATTCCAATATGCGATGGTATCCAAACGAAGCCAGGTTCAATATTTTTTTCCGTAGGTATGGTTATTAATTGAGCATGTATATCTTGATTTCTATTGTTAATAGTACAGTTTTTGAATCAGAAAGCATTACAAACTGATTATTTACTGTTGCTTTTATGTATTTTATAGCCTGTAAAATTGCATAGGCTTCACATGTGAAGATTGTTATTCCCGTAGGTAGTTCAGTTTTGTTTGCAGAATTCTCAACGACATAACTCCGACTGTAAAGGATTAATCTTGTCCAAGTTTTGATACGAGAATACTACCCCCACAGGTGCAAAAGTAACCCCGTTTCACTATCCCATCGTGCTCCAGAGGTTCCCTTATCTCCCTCGCCTCTTTCTCCCGATATCGGTGCGTTTCTCCCGCGTGACTGCGCGCGCGTCTCACCGCGTTTTCGAGAGGGTGCTGCGCGGCCGACGGGCGTCGACCGTCGACCGGTAGTCGAATTCGTAGCTCCCTCCAGGCAGGTACGTTCGTTCCTCCGGTGAAACGGACCCGACACTCTTTCCTCGATCCTTTAAAAGCGCTGGCAGGACTGCCAGTCGCCGGGTGGGGGGGGTTGTGCACCCCGTTTTCTTCGCGGCGGAGCTTTCAGTGTTGCTTCTCGGTACGCGAGTTCGCGTTAACGATCGAGGAAGCGCGGTACTGCGAGTGTCGCAGCGCCGTGTGGACTCTGCTGCAGTAAGTGATCGTGGAGGGTGCTGAGAGCGAAGGGGTGAGAGAAAAGGGATGATCGTAGGTGAAGAGACTGTTTCCTGGGGAAGGAATCGAAAACGTAGGGACAGCTTAGGGACCCGTCGACGGCAACTTCAGGTATGTGTAAAGAACACTGCTTTTTATTACCAACTAACAGAGGTGGAAGCTTCGATCCTCGATTGCCTCGTGTTGATCTTTTCTCGTCCCGTCTTGTTTATCCCGTTCGAGTTCTCTGCCCTCGAATCCTCGTTGGCACGGTATCTTTGCATCCGGACACCGTGTGTATCTTGTCAACCGGAAAGGGTTAGAGCTACGTCGTTCGACGCTTAACGATGCACTTTTCCCCACTTGTTTTTCTTTTTCTTTTCTTTTTTTTTGCGGTTTGTTTTCTTACTGGACTTTTTAACCACCGCGCACTGTTCCAACGAACGGCGGCTGTATAAATACGGCTTTGTGCTTAAACGCTCCGGAGAGGACTTTAGCGTCGCGAATGGGTGCTAAAGTGGATTTTTAATTCTTTGTCTTTCCGATTTTTTTATTCGTTTTTCTTTCTTTTCTTTATCATGCTTTCACCCGAACACCTGCCGGAGACTTATATTACGCGAATTTGTTGAGAGCGCTTGTCTTTAATTCTTTACCCTTTGGCATTACTTATTCGCGCGTACGCTTTCACTGTGAATTTTCAACGGGCAACTTTTCGCTACCGGTTGCCGTTAAGGTGCGCTAAATCAAGCCGGTCGTGTCGATAATTTTAGCGTGATATGTGAGCCCCCGTGATATACTGCAAATGGATTTTCGTCGAGGCATTCCGCTTGGTATTATCGGAACGTTACAGACGTTCAAAACTTGGCAATTGTTGAAGTTTGGTTTGCGATGCCACTCACAGGTGGTTTCCTCTTTCTTTTTCCGTATCCTTCTTTTCTACGCTTCTCTGGAATAGGAAGGAACTTCTGTATTCCGCGACGTTCGTTCTGGAATCAATTTTCGGAACTCGATTTTCAACGGAACAGTGAGAGGATGATTATTCGTTTAAGCAGTAAACATGCAATGTTCGAATGTATAAAATACACAATTCGACGAATGACGTATCGAGAATAAATTGAAACATTCTGAAAATGCGATGAAGCTTTCGTCACAATTTGCTGATATATTGTTTTAAAATCACGCGCAGCTGGAAAATGTTACTCGTATACATTCCATTATATATATTTCTTATTATGATCAATTTTCCTAACAAAAAAATATAGTTTGATTACATAAATATAATATAAATTTCTCTTAACACTAGACTGTTTACATGCTAATAGTATTAACATTATAATAACAGATAATTTTAATTCAAAAGTACGCTCCATAGCGTAAAATTGACAACAATTTTAGCGATTAAAAATATTGTATCAGGCGTAAAAATTAATTCTGTACATTTCTAAGGTGAACTTGCCATTTACTACAAACTAAAGTTTTAAATGAATACACATGAAGACAAAGAAGTAATTTCTAATAACTATTAATAACTTAATAATTGTTGACTGTCGGACTGTGTATACACATATGAATTGTAAGGACCATCAGGTTGAGACATTGGTTATGTATATGATTATTTATATAATTGATCAAATGTGCCTTATGGAACATTTGATTATGCAATAGCAGAAAAATACATGTATGAGTGAATTTTGGCCGATAATATTACAAACAAAACAGTAAACAATCGGTAATTGATACCGAGAAACGGAAGTCATATAACCCGTAGGGAATTATTAGTAAATACATAGAGCAATTGAACCTGCACTTCATTTGAGTTACAGAAGCAAAAAGAGTGTTTCTGTTTTCTCTTGTAAATAATAAATATCATCTGCATTTATACAGAGAACAAAAGGAATGTTTATAGGAAAATTGATTTTTATTGTACTATAGTTCTCCACTTGATTCAAGCTGGTATGAATGGGTAGAGAGTAAGATTAAACTGCAGCAGCAACGAAAACGTTGGGATATTCGTTGGATATTTACAAGTAGAAGAAAGATCATTAAAGTTCTATACGCGATTTAAAATCACAGAAATATAATGAATAAAATGAGTGAATACACCGTTTCAAAATTCATTTACTTTGAATTGAAAAGCTTTAAGAAATTTTTATCCCTATTTAGAATTTCAGAATATTTTAATATTTGGTTTTAATTGTGCTCTCTGTTTCTTTGAAGTTATATAGTCGTTATTTCGTAACTTTCCCAAAGTTAAATGTGCTGTTAACACACATAGCCAATAAGTTCCTGATTCGGTCGATCGCTATGTTAAAGTATTGAAATATGATAGGAATAAATTTGACACAAGTCGTGGTAAATAGAACGTTTATATGTGTAGCTCTAATTTGTATATCGTGACATCATGGCACAATTGGCCCAGCTGGCAGGATACACGTCATTGTTCTCATTTATTTGAAAAGTACGAGATTTGAAGAGCGTACTTTACGTATATGTCATTCGCAATCGTACCTTTGAAATTGTAAAATTCCCATTTTGCTTCACTGCGCTCGTTATTATAACTTTTTTTGTTGGAATCTTCTCATTAGACGATTGTGTGTTTCTAGGGCACTGCAGTGCGTTTTTTTTTCGAAATGCATAAAATGTTCCATTGTGAATATCGTTCCGCTTTTATTTTTTATTTTCGTAACAACGAAAGAATAGTTCTTGCAAGACGTGCATTGATACAAAATGTTTATATTAAGTATTTATAAACGTTTGGTCATTAATTATCGACGAAAAAATAGAATTTGCAACACACGAATTCATACGGATTAAATATGTTATGTGATTTTACTACTAAAACTATTTGACAATAAAAGTGTTAAGAAAGAAACATTAAATAAGAGTGATGAAACTGAGTGAGTGAATCGCATAAAATTTCTATATGTAAATAAGATTATATTGTTTCACTCTGACCATCAAGATATCTTTAATAATCGCTATTATGTTTGTGTAACGAAATTGAAACTCATAAATTTCAGAGAATTCGTAAATTTATTTCACTGAGAAATAAATTATTTCTTATCTATGTGTACGATCATTTACATTTTGTCCGGCAAATTTATTGGCAATAACGACTTCCATTTCGTTTCCACACTTTGCACACTTCGGAGACGTTTAATTGCCACTGCAGTGCGCAAGAACTACTCGCTATAGCGATAAAAAGGGTTTGTGATTTTTTTAATTTGTGTAAAAACTTTCACAGCGATCAAAATGACATCTCGATTCCGAGAAATAAAATTTAAATGTTTCACCGTGAAAAAAAGCGAAGCAATCGATTTAAAACCTATGACCGAAGGCAAAGTAAAACCCAATGGAGCACAAGTTTAATTAACATTAATGAATGTCAGCGTTAAACGACGAATGAGTAGAAATGCAAAGTAGAAGTGAAACGAGAATGTGTTTGATTAAATCTCCCATGCCCTATTCTTTCCGTAAGATATTAAATCACAATAGAAATTGAGTCTGGAAAATTTTTAATAAAATAAACCATTCAGTAAAAACATAGTATATACTTGAAGAAAGAACTTAGATTAGAATCTAATACAAAAGTATATGAAATTAATTGATACATCATTTATTTAACAAACGTTACATGACAGTGAAAGAGAATTTTTATGACTTTTTAATTTTGTTAAATTTTGCATTAGTTTCTAATTGGGATGAAAATAAAAATGAAGATATTAAATAAAAAGTAAATGGATCCAAAATAAGAGAGTGCAACGCTTTGTATTAACTTAACAAACGGAATAAAAAGAAGAAAATTACTTCATGTATCTGTGTCTGCAGATTGCAACCTAACGTAATATCAGTTTGAAACGTTAACACGAGTCGCCAAATTTCATATACATGTACTTTTACACTGAAACGTATCGCACACGTGTGCCCATATACATACATATATGCGGGTGGGTACAAATGGCAACTAGAAAGTCTGCTGCGCTTTTAGTCCGGGAAAATGGCGAACCGCGGCTCTCATTATTCCATTTGCCGTCAGAAAGTTATTTGTTCCCCCAAAATTAGGACTGCAGCTGTAAATAAAATTCATTTCCTTTTTGTCGTTTGGTGTAACCGCTGGTGACAGTTGTGGGATTGCAGAATTGTTCTTGCCGAGGTGTCTGATTGAACACCCCAAAAAAGGTGTCGTGAAATAACACAAGGAAGTAGAGAAATGGAATAATTAATCCACTAAAAGGTCTTTATAAGGATAGGATAATATTTATGCTTCACGATTATTTCGGATGATTAGATTGATAACACTTTACCTGTGCGAATAGATACATCAATTTACATTTAGATAATCCATCACAGCATGAGATAAGTATTATCCATTATCTTATAGATAGAGCTGTCTTACTATCGACTATAAAAGTTTCTCGTGAAAATCGTCAATTTTGTTAAAAAATTTGTAATAAACAAACATATACAAAATAAAATTTGTTGTACAAAGGAGATTACCTGTACACTTATATAACTTATTTCTAATGACAAGTACATTTACTAAAACCTGACAGGGTAAGAAATGAAAAGACGTTACAAAGAAATGTTTTCCTGATTGTTCTATAAATTCTAGATCATTTTTTCCGGCATTATATCTGCAATATACCATTTCTGCAATTTTTATTGAATTCGTTTTTCAAAAATAATTCCAACGAGAGAGACAGAATTAGTAAAAACAGAATCGAGATACTGACTCCTGTACACATTCATGACTTGTTATCTCGTGATTGATACGGCAGGGAAATGACAGGAAGGAATCGAATGTAGCGAGAATTGAGAAGACGTCTCTCACAATTTCATCCAACGTGAGCTCGTGGCGTTTCCATTGAAGGATATAGAACACCAAAGCAAACAGGATTATCCGAATCTTGTGAATTCAAAGGCAGGTTTATGCATATCACATTCCCCTCACCGTAAGAAGTTCCCGGTAACTCCACCCTATCTTGTAATCAACAGTATTATTTATAGGCGTAAAATCAGCGTGTAGGTCGCTTTGAGAAATTTCCACCTTAAACACTGCGAGCTCTTTGATCAGTAGAAACGTAATTACGACTTCTTAGAGCTGTGATATCGCAATTGGGTATAGAAAAGAA